CTTCTGAAGACAACTTCCTTGCCCTCACCTCATGGCTTTATCTCAGAGTCCCATCATAGTCAATCAGTCTCATTAAGCTCACCTGCTGTCTGCGGTACTGCCATTCCTTCATCCAGCCAGTCACTCAGTCTTCACAACCTGAGTGCTTCAGAGGAACTGCATTGATTCTGACATTGCAGCTCCTTTTATAGGGCCTTTTTGTCCCCTGATTAGCTGCTTGCTTTGTAGCCACTTTAGCCTGGTTGGAGGACTTCTCTATGGCTTCTCTGGGGCAGGGTCTGGCAGGACCACAGGGCCTCCAGCAGGAAGCCTCAGGGCCTGGTCCACCCTGTCACAGGAATACACAAAGGAAACATGCCTGCAGTTCCATAGGTGACTACTTAAGTGAGCTAAAACTGACAGAAGTGAAATTTATATGGGTTGCTGCTTAATGTTGTGGGTGGGAAATGCAACAGAGCTCAGCACTGGCCTACATTTTCTTCCATTGAAGTCTGTTAAATTTCCATTCAGTTAAACCAATGCTATGGGTTTTTGCAAATCCCCTCTTACATTTATTCTTCTTTGCATTTTGATGTCTAAGGGGCTTGGCCATGGACCAGAAAGCTGGCATGCTAGGTGCTGTACAAACACAAACCGAAGAGGCGGGCCTTGCTCGGAAGAGTTTACAGTTGAAGTAGATCACAGAGCTATGCAAGCTTTTCAGTGTATTAGAATCCTTGTCCCTGGTCTCCTCAGCCGATATTATTCAGCTGCTCCTGCATATCATAGCAACGAGCCAACAGAGTGGTTTTTATGTAGTACTATGTCAAAAGCTGTGAGGTCTAGGTAAACTATGTCCATTGTAGCTTCATTCCTATTAACTGGTACTCATTGCTCTCCAAAAAGTTCTTAGTGGTTTGGGCATTTCCTTTAGTGACTCCTTGCCTCTGGTGCTGATTACATTCTCTCTTGTTCTGTAGCCACTGTTTCCAAAGCCCTACTCACTTTCAGGATCAGATTCTCAGTCTTGATTCCAATGCACATAATTACACTAGCTGAAGATCAGGCTTACGAAGTCAAGCTTGTGCATGTATATTTTCCAGATCATTTCTGAGTCCTCTTTGTAAATGTAGCTTGTATCATTAGTTTCTTGGTGATCCTTTTCATATTTTCCATGTTAAAATGACCATTTACATATTTTATTAGAACCTTCCTTATCAGAGTGGCAATTTGCTGAAAAGGTCAAAGAATCCTTT